CATTTTAGAGGGTTTTCTTCTTTTTTTCAGCTCATCGTGAAGATGAAAGTGCTCGGTGTGAACGCGGTGTTCGCGTTTGACTCGCAGATCCAGATCGGCGGGTCTCTAATCGTCGGTGTTATTACTGGTACTGGTCTGTATCTGCCTGCTCTCCCCTCCCCAACACTTCGCATCGAGCGAAACATCGATGTACGCTTAGTTTTTTTCTTGTGCTGTCAAGGAACAGTGACTTATGCTGTTTTAATCAGGTGAAAGACGAGGAAGATCGACGTCTTGTTCAGCTTCAAGCTCAAATCGAAGAGCTCAGCACGTTCAACAAAGACAGAGTACGTTATGTCTAAAGCAACACATTTATATAGTTTATTTTAACTTTTGTATTATTGATACAGCTTCACCGGGATCAAATCTGCATCGTTCAACCGGAATATGAATACTATATCGGAGGCAGGAGTGCGCGGAACCAGCTCCAAGCCAGCACGTCGCTTTCCGACCAGGACGACGACAATGCGAAGGGCTCCAAGCGTCTGTTCCAACACACACAGTCCCGATCAAGACGTGCGCGAAGGAGACAAGTAGCACAGCCGTCTCCTGATGACGTTCAGACGCTGAATGCAGCGACAGTGGAAGCCTCGGATGGTGACACGACTCCTCCGTCCCAGACCTCGCTTGACAATGACTCGAAGACTCTGAGCTCGTCTTCCGAATCGAGTTCCGAGTCGGAAGAAGAAGCGTTCGTCGATGGCTTCAGCGACTCGAAGGAGACTTTTGTACTGGAAATCGACGATGAGACGGATGAAGACCTCATGTCGGTGTTGCTGGAACAGGAGTTACCGGAGGTATGTGACCTGTGATATCGAAGTTATGGCCACTAATGCTGCGCTGTTAAGGGTATCTACATGTGCAATACGGATCGTCTTCCGGGTGACTTTACGCCGGGGGAGAACGTGCACTTGATTGTGTCCATGAAGCGAGTCGAGTGGGATGAAGATCGCATGCGTGACACACGTCTCAATGAACTGCTCTCTGTTGTGTTTAAAGAGCTCTTCGCGAGGTACTTTTTTCTACATTTCGATGATGTTTAGAAGCACTGCTGACTTGTGTGGGGTTATATAGTTTGCTGTTCAAGGTGCGTTTGTATGCTCCCTGTGCGATCTGCGGCTTGAAGACTCGAGTAGCAGTAGCATCCGAAACGATGGTACGTGCTTCAATTACTATACTAAAATCTACCAGTATTGAAGACTAATGCGTGTTGTCTGTAGCTTGAAGTGGTTCTAAGTGGCATGGCTGTACTGGAGAAGAACTGGGAAGATCCACTCGAGAGTCTTCTAAATAACGCTGCAACTTCTCTTGATATGGAAGAAACACACGCTGACTCCTCCGATATAACTGCGTCGACTGCAGCGGTGCATGACATCCCGCTGTCTGGAAAATCTTCTCCGTCCAAGCTGCACATCCACATGCATCGAACTCGAAGTTTTTCACACAACCGATCGAATAACCCCATGATGCCTGGAACGACCGCAGCTATACCAGCTCCGTACGGCCGCGAATGGATCGAGTTGACGCCGCTCGGATACATTCCTGGTGCTCACGTGACACGATACCTCGGTCGAGTGACGCTGCACTTTATTAAGGAGAGCTGGACAGTGCGAGAGAGTGGCGGATTGGGAGCCTTCTACCACTTGTTCCTGAGTGAGGCCATCGCTATTGTCCGAGCGCACGTACGCTCCTTGGGCGGTAACGCCATGTTGACATTCCGACTCGTACCCATCGAGTCCAGTCAACTGTACCGGAACCAAGTGTACAATATGATCAGCATCACAGGGGACGTCGTCATGATTGAGCGAGAAGTGGACAACGACATTGCGTACCCGCCCAACATGTGGAGCTCTAAAGCTTCCCATGCAGCGGAAATGGACAAGCTCTCGTCTCTTGACGACGCATTCGCCAACGTCATTATTGAAGACTCGGGCAACATCGACTAGAGTCAAAACGCGAAATAATTTTAAAATCTGAGTACTGTATCTAGTTCCAGAAGCGGCTCCGTCCAGCTCAACACTTGAGCCGGACTCGCTAACACTTCAAAGTGACATTCACCGAAAAAGAAATATCAAGCTGAATGTTCGAGAAAAGTAGTCTATGGGCGAAAGACGTTGTAAGCCCGCGTTGAACTGTATAGCGTAGAAAACTAAAGGGGCAGGTGTTAGGAATACAAAGCAAATGGATGTGATCGCATTTGCCATGTTAAAGTGATATGGGTCCCTAAATTATTAGATTGCTTAAGTTGGTTGCGTGTGGTTAAGGCTCCAATTGCAGCAGCGGTAGAGTAGAATCTTACGATATCGAGTACAAGAAACCAAGAATTACAGTACGCGCTGATGTAGTAGTGCTATGGTTGATTACTTTTGCTGGAATAGTAGTAGTAGCTTTAGAAAAAGTAGATGTATTCGCGTGATCTTGCATTTTAATTTTAATATACTTCAAGTATACTTTTTCTAAACAACGATGTCTGCATAACTACAGTTTGCAGTCTATCACTTATTGTTGACCCGACTGATTCTCTCAACGCTTCTCTTTCATCGTCTTCTCGATCAATCACAGCGAACGAAGAGAGACAATGCCACGACGAGAGGTGACCACGATGGCTGATGCAACATCGACACCCAGACCGCAGTTCGATCGGACTCCTCCTCGCTCTCTCACTTGTCATCTCGCTTCCTCCCTGACACTCGACAACCAACCTTCAGCTCCATCAACTACTTGAGCAACTGCCCAACAAGATGCTCTTCCAATTGTAAAGCGATAGCGTGTCTTGTTTGTCGCTGCGTAAATCCTTCACTCAAATGACCCTGCTGAGATAACAACCACGCCAGGGCAACATGGGTGGCCGACAAAGAAGCTCTTCCTAATAATGCAGGGAAGTCAAGGCCAGTGCCATAACGCAGC